GCAACCCTTGCAAGCCCTGTGTCCCGTTCCCGGTGTGGGCTGGAGGAGAGCAGGGCGCCCTTACCGCCAGGAAGATCTGCGTGGCGCTGCTCACCACCTCGATGTACTGGTAGTCCAGCAGGCAGCCGCTGACCGTGATGACGTGGTGATCCTCGGGCGCCAGCGGGGAGTTGAGCACCGGCGTCACCAAACAGCCAGGGCCGTTCTCCATCCACCATGAGCGGTGCAGGGACGTGTTGAAGGTCATGATGAAATCCCGGTCCTGCAGGAGGAGGAGGAGGAGGAGAAGAAAGAAGAAGAAGAAAGAAGAAAAGAATGAAGAAAGCAGAAAAGAAAGAAGAAGAAAAGAAAGAAGAAAGAAGAAGAAGAAAAAAAGGAGAAAAGAAAGAAGGAGAAAGAAGGAAAGAAGAAAGAAGAAAGGAAAGAAGAAGAAAGGAAAGAAGAATGAAGAAAGAGGAAGAAAAAAGAAAAGAAAGAAGAAAGAAGAAGAAAAGAAAAGAAAAGAAGAAAATAAAGAAAAAAGAAAGAAGAAAAAAGAAATAGAAAAAGAAAAGAGAAGAAAGAAAAAGAAAGAAGAAAAGAAAGAAGGAGAAAAGAAAGAAGGAGAAAGAAGGAAAGAAGAAAAAAGAAGGAAAGAAGAAAAAAGAAGGAAAGAAGAAAGGAAAGAAGAAGAAAGGAAAGAAGAATGAAGAAAAAGGAAGAAAAAAGAAAAGAAAGAAGAAAGAAGAAAGAAGAAGAAAAGAAAAGAAGAAGAAAATAAAGAAAAAAAGAAAGAAGAAAAAAGAAGAAAGAAGAAAAAAAGAAAGAAGAAAAAAGAAATAAAAAAAGAAAAGAGAAGAAAGAAAAAGAAAGAAGAAAAGAAGAAGAAAAAAGAAAGAAGAAGAAAAGAAAGAAAGAAGAATGGTGGACCAAGGCTCTTTGCCAGAGGGCTGCACAGTAAATGGGTTTCCCAAGCCAAGGAGGCTCCCTGAGTCAGAGCAGGGCATCCCCTGAGCCCAGCCCCGGGGTTTGGGGCTCCCTCCCATGCTGGCACCGTGGGCATCGGCTCAACTAGCACCCGGGGGTGCCCAGTGACAGGGTGGGTGCTACAGAGTGGGACCAGAGTGCAGGGAGGGTATTTGTGATTGGCAGCACCCCATCTGCATGTTCCAGGGATGCAGGGCAGCCCCTGATGCTTCCCCTGGGATTTGGGGGTGCCATGACCTCATCCCACTCTCAGGTAGCCTTGCAGGTCCCCCTGGAGCGTGTCCCCTCCTTGCCAGCCCCTCACAAGCTCTGGGGCTCTGCCTGGGTCCTCTGCAGGAGCTGTGGGGTGGCCTTGGGCAGGCTGTATCCTCCTGCAAGGGGAGAATCCCCAGTCCCTGGCTGCCCCTTCCCACTCCATGAGGGTCCCACTGGTACCTCTGGCTGAGCCCTCACCCCATGAGAATCCCCTTGGTACCCCTGGGGACCCC